CCTACAAAGTAGGTGAACGGAAGACACCCATTCAGTACCTTATGAATGAACAAATCTAAAGCAAGTATACAAATGACTAACAGCGTGTACAGTTACAGTTCAGTTCCTTTATTTTAAAAGAAAAGTGTGGACTCTCAGCCCTCTACCCCACTCCTCATTTCTTCCTCTAGGGCTGTACAATATTACATGCTTCTTTCTGGCTGGGTGTCTATCGAGACTGGAAATTCAGGTTGATAATACTCTTCCTAATGCTTTAAGCCTATTTCTACATCCAAAATTTTCTGAAATTCCCTTGGTTAGAACTTTAATTTGGGTTAAACATACAAGTTTCAAAGCCTAGCTGTTCATCTGAATCATCTCCGAAACTTTACAGAAGTACAAATCCCACCTCCCACCTCCCACCTCACTCCACAGAATCGTCTCAGGACACGGAGACCAAGAATCTGCTCTCCTGCAGCACTGGACGGGCTGCACTCAGGGGTCACCAGCTCTGGAAGGGCGTCCCTAACCACCTCTTTCCAGCTGTCCTCTCCCAGGCCCGGCCCGGCACCCTCCACCGGATTTTACCACCATCCACCATGGTACTTATCTGACTCATTACTTTTGTTGATTGTTTTGTCTTCCCCAGCTAGAAAATGAGTTTTCAAAGGGAAGGGATTTTTGTGGTTGATTCAGCACCATTTCCTCAGTACCCAGAACAGTGCCTGGCCCTGGGAAAAGGAAGGAGCAGAGGCGGGAGCAGGGGGGCAGGGGGAAGCAAAGAAGGAAACGAGGAGCGGCAGGGCTGTGCCCGCCCGCCTGGTACCCTCCTCCCCGCTCTGTCCCTAGCACTCCTTCCCTGGCCCCCTGACGAGTGTCCCCAGCGCTCGGCCTTCACACTCTTCCCCAGTCTCTGTGCGCTCTCCCGGCATAAACGCACCCTCAACAGAAGATCTCAGTGATCCCCTAAACGCCCACCGCTCCGGAGCCTACATCTCCGGGGCACACCTTCTCCCTAACTCCAGACCCTCGTCATCAGCCACCTGCTAGACACAGGGCTCATCCATCCCTCCCTTCCCTGCCTGCTCACACCGACCCACCTCCCTCCTCTAATCTCCTGACCTGACACAGGAGAGTGTGACAGCTAAGAGATCAGCACAGACCTGGATTCAAGTTCCCAGCTGCACCTCTTCCTTGGTGGAGCCAGCTGTTTGAGCCGGGACAGGCTATTTCATTTGATCTCTGCAAGAGTCACTTTTCCCAGCTGTATAAGGGGATAATATCAGTGGCAGTCAACGTAGCACTCTGCGTGGGGAGCACTTCGGTGCTCCTGAAAACGTGCTGGCTCTTATTTCAAAGACAAAATGTCATCGGTCTCCTTGTTCTTGATCCATTCTTAGTTTTGCACACCCTCGCTCTCCATGACACGTAACATATATTTGTACACACACGTATGACTGATCTCACACTCTAACGACAAAAAGGGGGAGCAAGCCAGGAACAAACTGAGCATGACTTTTGAAATAACTCAATTTGAGGCCCAAAGGGGTCAGATTTTCATGGGACAGTCCATGCTTTAACCAGCTCTAGGAAGCAGTCTTTCATACACGGATAGCTGAGGAAAACATCCTTCCACTGCATTCCGTAAAGTTCCATTCACATTAGAACAACACCATCGACATCAACACGTGACATCGGCCAAAGCACCGGAGCCTGGCGGGGAAAGGAGGAAGACACACAGCTCCCATTGTTTCTTGGCAAGACTCTCTCCTTATGGCAAAGTTAGAGCTCAAAGTGAGAGGCAGCAGCTACGCTGCTGATACATATAGCCTGGAAATGCACTTTCAAAATTGCAAATTCAGACTTGACATCTTTATTGACGCTGTACAGTTGTAAACCAAATGTGACCAAAACACAATGATACATCTGTTCCTGAATTTTAGAACTATAAAGCCATTTAATTAGTAGTCAACTAAAATACTTTATCTGATATATCTCTGGTTAGTAAGGAATAATTTTTAAAAGTGACTAAAAACAGTACAAGAAAACAATAGCATATAAATATGATTTACTTATGTCAAGAAGAGGTTTGGGGAAGGAAAAGCTCTCAGAATTATTATTAAGATTCCTGAATTAATATTAATACATTTGAACAAAACAGACTGAAAGCAGAAAGATAATGGAAAAGTCATTATGTAGACTATGGAGTCAGACAAACCTCTACCCCCTCACGAGCTAAGTGGGCACTCAAGTCGATTTCCTCATCTGTAAATGGAGATAATGTCCCAACTGGCAGCGTTAAGAAATTAGTGATAATTCTGTATAAATTAACATATTTGTGAACTGTAAATACTGTGAAATCATACTGTAGAGTTGGCTATACTGACATACAGTTGCTCAACAAATGGCAATTATTACTTTTCAAATACAGTGGTCTGAACAACACAGAACAAGTCACTAGTTACACAGCACTACTTACAGTCAATTCTTGATCGCGACTAAACTACACAGAGTTCAAAACAGCTAAATAAACTGAAATAAATTCGTTTCTAGTTTTCAAATGCAATTACTTTTGCAGCAAATTAACTGTCCAGGTGAAGCCTATGCATAATAGAAACAAAAAGTTGGCTATGTTCAAATCAATCTTTTAAGCATAAGTTATAATTTAGGAAAATATTATAGGCTACACAACAATTCTCAGAATGCATTGTGAGGGCCATGCCTGCCCTGCTCACTGCTGTGTGCCTGTACAGTGTCTGTAAAGTGCCTGACACATAACAGGTACCTAGTAAATATTTGTTTAATTGCAGTCTACATACAGCCACTTAAGAGAGCAGGAGTGGCCTAATGCTAGAAAAATAACCCAGAGTAATAAAGGAGCACAGTAGAAAATTAATCTTAATACGAAATTAGTCAGAAGTCTTTTAGTCCTTAAAAAAATCATAAAAAGACCTTACTAAACCACCAGCATGGGCCCACTGTGAAAGGGTAAGACTAAATCAGAAAAGTAAAGAAAAATCCATCAACTGGTAGTTACAGAAGAACATCAGGCCAAATGAAAGTCACCAGAAAGAATGGTAAGGGAATAATGGAGAGCTGCTATGACTACAGAAACAAAATCAAAGATATATACTCATCATAAATTTCAGATGCAAAGACTTAAAATAAGCCAAGGGACCCTAAAGATTTTCTAACATTCTGTTCCCTCTTACCAATCCCGAGGAATGGGATGTGTTCTGATTAAATTCAGCTCACTTTTACTGTTTTCCTATTACATGCTCTGCACTGTAGCAAGCATGATGAAAGGTGCAAAGATGAGGTTTAATTTGGCACAGAAGGAAGTCACGTGCATACAGCTCCTATCTGTGTGCACAGATAGTACAAAGACGTCTGGAACCTGGGAACGAGGACCAGACCCTGATCTGATGCCTACTCTAGTCCACTGCACCTCCTACTAGTTCGGTTATTTACTTAATCACCCTTCTATCTTCAAACTTTAAGCGGCAGCAACTTGAATTCTAGAGTTACTTTACTTTTCTGCTCTTAAAGACACAAAGAGAAACTTTTTAAATGGGGTTACTTTTTAGCATCTTTAATTTTATTAGATATAGTATGTGCCATGTTAAAAAAAGTTTTAATATAAACCCATGTCCATCTTAAAAAAGTCTGTGAAACATCTGAATGACATGGATCTCACGTCCTCCCTGGAACAAATGAAGAAGACGGATGTCTGCTCTTTC